TGAAGAAATCCACTCTTCACTTTAAGTTTATATTCTCTTCCTAAAATCACCTCCAGAAGCCCTGTGATTGGAAGCCTTTAAAGTGCCCCTTAATGATCCTTATCCTCCTGACATTCACATCTTTGTGCAATGATTTCACCTTGAGTGTGGGTTGGACTTATTGATTAATATGTAATGAATGGAATAAAGCAGAAGCACTGGGATGTCTCTTCTGGGATTAGGTTGCAAAAAGACTGTGGCTTCTGTCTTGGCACCTTCTCACTCATTCTTACTCGCTTGCCCTAAGGAAAGTCAGCTGATACACTGAAGTGTTCTATGGAGAGGTTCACATGGGAGAAACTGAGGGAAGCCTCTGGCCAAATGCATCCTGCCAACAACCATATAAGTAAGTCTGAAAGCCAGTCTCATCCTAGTTGAGCCTCTAGATGAGACTGCAGCCCAGTGCAACCCTGACACAAACCTCAGGAGAGAACTTGAGCCTCTAACCCATAGACCAACAGAAGTTATGAGATAATAAATGTTTGTTGTTTGAAATTGCTAAACTTGGGGATAATTTGTCAGGTAGAAATAGATAACTTATACAGGCTCATAAGGCAAATATTCCAGCTTTAAGTCTATGCTTTTTATATGATAAATTTGTTTAGATCATTCTTTCCTTTGGATATTAATTTAATTACTTATGCAAAGTTTTCTTTAAATTCTTCTTTGAGAGCAGCAAGTGGCAATTGTCAGTCTTATTCATAATTACAACACCAGTACCTACCTAACATGTGCCTGGCACCCAGATAGATGCTGTTATGGGGTATGGAAGTTTGTTAACTCCAAATCTCATGTTGAAATGTAATCCTCAATGTTGGAGGTGGGGCCTAGTGGGAGGTGTTTGAATCATGGCAGCAGATCCCTCATGAATGGCTTAGCATAATCTCCTTGTTGATGAATTAGTTCTTGTATTAGTCCATGCAAGATCTGGTTGTTTAAAAGAATGTGGCACCTCCCCACTCCTCTCTTGCTCACCATGTGATCCACTGGCTTCTCCTTCACCTTTCACCATGATTGTAAGCTTCCTAAGGTCCTCACCAGAAATAGAGGCAGGCATTATGCTTCCTGTTCAGCCTGCAGAACGATGAGCCAACTACACCTCTTTTGTTTATAAACTACCAAGTCTCATATATTACTTTATAGCAAAGCAAGAACAGAGTAACACAGATGCTAATATACGTTTACTGAATTTGACCCTTTTGTCTTTTTTTACTTGTCCTAGTTTATAAGTTACTCCTCATTCTCTATATTGTCATTTCTTTTGTGATTGCAGAGTTAGAAAATCTGCCAGTCTAGTTGCCTCAACCTCTCTGTCCTTTACCCTGCTTCCCTACTCTAGAGATTCACTACTGCTGTCTCATTTGAGGCAAATCAGCGTCACCTCTTTCTTTCTCAGGGTTTCTCCAATGGAGCTGAGTCCACACATGCTCTCTCATCTTACTCCTGCCTGAACTGGGGTTACTGATTCCTTTATTGGGAGGACAGTGCTGCTGCGTAACAAGAGACACTTAATCATCTTTTTGTCTTAATTATAATACTAAAAGAAAATTGAGGCCTGGAGATGTTAACTGCCAAGTCTGTGGTTACTGTGAAATATAGAAGCAGAATAATAACTAGGTTTCCCAAAACAGGAAACATCATATCATAGGATTCAAATTTGAATCTTAGCTCCACCAAGCTGCCTGGCCTTATGGAAAATATTCAGCCTTCTTCAGTCACTTCCTCATTTGTAACATGTAAATAATTTCTACTTATGGAGCTGTCTTAGGCATTATTACTGATTTAGTATTTTGTCTAGCCCATATTTTATCTTATATTTATAACTTCTTTGTAATAGGTTCACTTCATAATTACAATGATGACATAAACTCTATTTGGCTGATAATTTAAATATAGCAAGAACATGGCAATATTTAATTGTTAATAACCAATATTGTAATAGCACTTTCATGTCTTTATTAATGCAAATAAAACCAACAAAAATATTACTTCTTACCAACATTCAGAATCTTCCTCCATTTGCCTTTATTTGATATACTGTCATCAAAGGATCAAATATTATAATATGATATGATATTGGTGATTACAAAACAGATGAATTGTTCCACTATTTCTAAACTGCTTAGTTTTCAAATCAAAATAAGTCTTCCAGTTTGAATGAAAAAATCACTGAAATAATCACGCATACATAAGAAAGAAAACTGGCACATGTATATTAAGTTTACATTGACAAGAAGGTAAAAACCTAAGGTAAAATTATATTTAAAAGACATAGTCTACTTTTTTATGAATGTAAGCATCAAGTGCTCTAAGTTTCTTTGGCAAAGATTTAATGTTAAAACAAATAACACTTTATATAAATATATAAAGATTCCCAGTCTTAGAGGTTTAAAATAGTTATTTGCAACAAAGAACTGGGTGCTGAAGAAACTTTAGAGATTATGTAGTTTAAGGGAAAGCCAGGTCTGGAGAAGATAAATCACTGCCTGGAATTAAGGACAGAACACCAGGATGCGATTTCACGTCAGACTAACAGTCCAGGACAGGACACTTTCCATGAAACTAAGCCTTTCACGTTTTTGTTTGTTTGTTGAAAGAACATGTGCTCTTTGATTAATTGCAAAGGTACCACCATCTGCTTCCTACCTCTTTCTGGGACTGGTTAAATTGCTCTATCAGTTGTGCTTGAGCCAGCATTACTCTTTCCAGTTCATCTGACTTCTGTTTCATTTCCTTCCTCAAGTCTTCTGAAACTGAATCATTACTGTCAATTTCCTTCTTCAAGCGAGATTCAAATTCTGCAACCAAATTTTTCAGGTTTTCAATTTCTTTTTCCTTTGACTCAGATTCTTCAGTGTACCGAATACGGGACTCACGAAGTTTTGCTTGAAGATCGGTCACTTCCTGCCTTAGATCTCTTGTGGCACCAGTGATTAAGTCAGATATCTGTAAGATAAATCTCATATTAGCTTGTAGGCAATAGTTTCTAGGTTACCATAGAATTCTTATGGTTTTTAAGAGGTTTATTCTCATTTATCAGTGTACTTGCTTGATCAGATGAAAACAAATCCATGACATGCAGGCCTTCAAGATTTTCTTTTTAAAAGTTAAGACTAAAACATTTATTTTTCTACTTAAAATAGTATCCCATTAATCACTTGGGCACTCTTGGAAATATATAAATTTCTGTGACTATATTAAGCTACAAAGAATAGCGCAAATCTTTTTTGTTTTTATTTTGAGACAGGGTCTTGCTCTGTTGCCAAGGCTGGAGTGCAGTGGTATAGTGGTGTAATCATGGCTCTCAGCAGTCTTGACCTCCTAGGCTCAAATGATCCTCCCACCTCACGTTCTCCAGCAGCTGGATCACAGACTCATGCCACCACACCTTGCTAATTTTTTATTTTTTGTAGAGATGGTGTCTCTTGATGTTGCCCAGGCTGGTCTTAAACTCCTGGGCTCAAGTAATCCTCCTACCACAGCTTCTCAAAGTACTGGGATTGTAGGTGTGAGCCACTGTGCCTCAGCTCAAGTCTTGACAAGTAGAACAGGGCCTGTCTGGACCTAATTGGCTTTGGGATCTCAAAATGCCTGATTTTGGGGGAATGCAAGGAGAATAGCACTAGAGTTATACTCTACTCAAGTTTTCCTTTGACATTATTTTTTTTTTCTTGTATATAATGGCTGGAGGAACTATAGATACTATGCCTTCTAGAACAGTACTGCCCAACAGAACTTTCTGTGGCAAAATATTCTATGCTATCCAATATGGCAGCCACAAGCCACATGTGGCTACTGACAGTGGCATGCTGGTAAATGTTTACTAACTGACTTTCAAAAAAAAAAAAAAGTAAGATTTGTATCTAATTTCCATTGTGTAAATACTCTAACCATAGCTCTCAAAAAACAGTACTGACTCTTGAGCACCTGATATATGACTAATGTGACTGAGGAACTGATTTTAAGTTTTATTTAATTTTAATTAATTTAGTGGAAACTTTGGTAGCCACATATGATACCATGATGAACACTGCAGTTGTAGAAAACACCTGAATACCCTGAAAATGTACTGCTTCTCAAGGTGGTACCTTTAGATAAATTAAAGAGAGAATAACTTGGAGAAGCTTTAGAAGGGAAAAGACTGCTTGCTTGCTTTCTGCTTAAAAATCAAAACAATGAAACAGGGAAGAGCAGAGCTACTTCTAATGAAATATATCCTTATTACTTATGCTGCAATTATTGTCATGTTATAAATATTAGCACACCAAGAAACTAGCCCACGAAGAGTCTGGAAAACATTCATAGACCAAGGTTCCAAGGACTTTGTCAACTATTACATAAAAAGAGTTTTATGTATCCACAATTTGTTTCAAATGTTAAATTTATAGAAAGAATAACTTGTGTTAGAAATCTCTTCACCACAATTCATAATTTTATAAATTAATATTCTATTATCTTCAATTAATCCAGGAGGGAAGAAGGTCACTGTCAGGTCTGCACAGTTGTTTCCATCACCCAGAGGATTGCTGACACTGAAATAAACCAAGTTATCCTTGGGAGAGGAGGTTCACATAACCACAAATATATTTTTATTTTTCTAAGCAGTCAACATTTAAAATCAGGAGGTTTCACTTACAAAATGTGGCTTTATGACTTCTCTTGAGAAACTGTAACATCTGGCAAGTTCCAGCCTGCCTGTCTGCATTCTCCTGCTGATGCGATCCTGAGCCACCCAGGGCTGCAACAGCAGTCAGAGGGAAAGGAGGCAGAAAGGCAGAGACTCAGTGGAGCCTGAGGCATGAGGATCCAGCAAGCAAGAGATGAGAACCCTCTAGGGAGGCAGAACCTTGGGGGGGCTAAGGCTCTAAGTTTATGGCATTTGCTCCATTGTTCCAATAGAATTTCACTTATAAAACACAAATTCAAAGATAAAATCACTAAGAGTTTCTTTTTTCTTTTAGAGAAGGGGTGTCACTCTGTTGCCCAGTCTGGAGTGCAGTGGTGTGGTCATAGCTCACAGAAGCCTTCAACTCCTGGATTCAAGTGAACCTCCTGTGTCAGCCTTCCAAGTAGCCATGACTACAGGTTTGAACCATCACACTAGGCCAATTAATTTTTTTTTTAAATAGAGACAGAGTCTTGCTATGTTGCCCAGGCTGGTCTTGAATATCTGGCTTCAAGTGATCCTCCTGCCTGGGCTTCTCAAAGTGCTAAGATTATAGGCATGAGCCACCATGCCTGGCTAGCTTATTAAGAATTTCAAGGTAGTATCTGGAGAGCATTAAATCCAAAGCATGAGGCCTTTCTGAGTGTGGGACCATGTGCTATTGCACTGGTTGTACACATATAGCTGGTGCTGCCTGTTTACAATGGACTCCTGAAATGGATGTACCACACTTCCTGTATAGAAATAAGGAGGCCATTAGGTCTTGTCTGATGCTTAATTAACACAGACTCTTAATGCATTTATTCAAAATTTTATTTCCCCACTATGTCTCAATTAATACACATACACACATGCACACACATATACACTTTACACTCAAGTCCTATAAACACAGAAAAACCTTAACAAGACCTTTTATACTCAGAACATACTGTTTAAGGAATTTAGGGAGGTGTGATAACATTTAAAAAATATTTCTCTTCATTCAGAAATGTTGAGAATGAAAAATATTTGCAATTAAAGGCTTTAGTTGTTGGAAAAATTTTAATTATGTAAAACACCTCATTATCTTTTAATGTTGGATATTTGAGGTGTTGAAATATCTAGCCATACTAATTTTTAGTCATATAATTTATGCTGTTTAAAAAATGAGTTTATTCTAGTAGAAAAAATTCATATGTAGCAGGATTACGTGCTTGTATAATTTATCTCAGTTATCCATTCTGGGGAATTAGCCAAATCACCTTACCTGCATGGCTAAAACCAAGATACAGTGACAGTGAGTGAAAGGTACCGGAGTTATAAATACTGTAGTGTTCTAAGGAGGAAATGAAAAACAGCTGCAGTTTCAAATCTATTAAATAATGATAAATGTCATAATTACAGACCTTCATTTGTAATTCCTCTTGTTCTTTCTTAATCTTTTGGATTATATCTTTATGTTTTTCTTTTTCAATATCAAGTTTCAGTTTTGCTTCTTCCTTAAAGAGAAGAGCTTGCTCTTTAAATTCAACCAAGTGTTGGGCCCTTTCCTTGGCAAGTTCTGCTTCAATCTAAAAATGGCATTTAAAACACATGTAAAACCATTTTACCTTAAAGTAAGTACATTAAGCTTATTTTCAAACTCTAAGTTTTAAAACATTCTGATGTTAAATTTTTAATTAAACTACTTTTGAAATTCTAGTGTTAAAAAAAATGTGACTTAGACCTTGGGCTAGAAAAATTGACCTTGTGCCAAATATTTCAACACGTTCTAAGACCTGAAAAATTAGTAGAGAAGTTAGAACTATACGACAGTTTACAGAAATACTAAAAGCTTAGTTATTTGCTCATTTATACTTTAAACTCAGTTCTTGCCAGCAACTCAGAAAATGTAAAGTTTTTGTTTTTAAGCAGATTTTGAGGGCCTTAGCCTAAAATCTGCTCAAATCTCAGAGGAAATACAAAGTACAAATGCTGATTTTTTAAATGGCCCTTTCTTGAGGGAGGTCACAGAAAGTTTTGGAATCAAAGTGTGTCATTTTAATGTGACTAAAGTGGGAAGGATGATTAAAGGAAAAGAGTCAGTGATGCCCACACAGATGGTTTCCAACTTACAATGGTTCGACTTATGATTTTTTGACTTTATAATGGTGTGAAAGCAATATGCATTTTCAGTAAAGACTGTACTTCAAATTTTGAATTCTGATCTTTTCCTGGGCCATTGATACACAGTATGATACTTTCTTGGAATGTTAGGCGGTGTCAGTGGGCCGCAGCTCCCGGTCAGCCATGTGATCATGAGGACAAACAAGTGATCTTCTACACTGTATGTACTGTGTTGCCAGTGCTTTCAGACACTGTGTTTTCATATTCCATCATGTCTACCATGTTTACAGAGTATCCATTTTTGACTTAAAATACCTTCAATTTATGATGGGTTTATCAGAATGTAACCCCATTGAAAGGTGAAGAACATTTGTATCCATATTTTGACTCAGATAGAATCATAATGCTAGAAGGGACTTTAGAAATCCCCTAATTCAATTTCTCATGTTTCTATGAATTGTAGAAAGAATAAGCAAGGACTCTGGATGCAGATGGAGTTGAGTTTAAATCCTGGCTCTTAATCCTGGCTCTGCTACTTGCTAACTGAGTGATCTTAAGTTTGTGTCTGTAACCCTTCCTTTTAGGATTATAACTAGTTCCCTTAGGGGTTGTTACGAGGATTAAAGGAGGCAAAGCTTTTGTGTAAAGCTCTAACACAAGTAGGAATTTAATAGTGGAGATTACTTCCACACCCTGACCCTTCAGTCTCCACCACTGACTCCATACTAAATGAGTGGTTGCTGGGTGCCTCACACCTCCAGAAACCATAATTCACTCCTTCCCCAGAAGGCATTTCCATTTTCAGACTCTACTAAGCATTAGGCAGTTTTTCCTGCAGTTGAGCCAACATCTCTCTACATGCAGTTTTAAACCATTGGTTTTGGCTCTACCTACTGAGACAAGAAAGAGAACAAATTTGTGAGTACTGGAGTCATTTACTCCTGGGAATTCATCTACAGAGATTAGAGAAGGGAATCCCAGAGACAGGCTGGCTCTAGATTTACATCGTGCCATGATAATATAAAAGAGGGTAACGCCCGGTAAATTGGGTGAAAAACTCACAACTAATTGTGACTGTGATTTAGGCCAACAAGACAAGGAAAGAGATCAACCTAAATTTCTGAAGGGAACAATGAAACCAGGGTACAAAGACACAAATTTTGCTAAGAAAGTTACAGGAAGCCCTTTACATTAAATGAAATACTAGACGGAAGACTAGCCCCAGTATGGGGTCAATAGGTTTTATTGTACTGTGTATAGGACTGAGCATTTACCTGAAGACAAAGTAATTATGTTTATACAGTACTGAATGCAAGGAGTTATTTTGGCTCTTTCAAAATAAACTTCTGGATTATTTGGATAATAGGCTACTGATGATCTTTTCTCAACATTATAGAATTACAGAATTATTCAGATGGGCTTCTCTCAGACTGCTGAAGATAAAGAAAATCTCAGAGGTCCTCAGAAAAAAGAAGACATTCTTCTGAATTTCAGGTACTTAAATCCACTTTGCCTTCTGGTAGCCATTTAGACAATTCACAGGTGCCTCCAGTGAATTGTATGGCCTAGAAATCTTGTAACAACTCCCTTCCCAAAGCCTGTTTCTCCCCCTTATTTCAGGATACAGCTTACTATCCATCTAGTCACTCAAGTCAGTAGCTGAAACATCATGTTTCACACCTCTCTCCCATATTCTCCCCACCAGATCCAACACAAAAGCCTGTTCATTTTACCTTCAAAAGATGCTTTGCATCCATTTCTCTTATGTCTCAACTTCCATCAGCACTTCTGGATCACCTAGTTCTGGCCACCATCACTTCCTGGCTGGCCTCCTTACTTTCACTCCTGCTTCTCTCCACTCCATGCTACTACACACAGCACAGTATTCTTTACAAAATATAAATTAAATTCTTTTATTCCTTCTTTGAGGTTTCTCAATGCATTGATATATCAAAACTTCTCTATATGATCTTTTACTGGGCCACTACCAGCCCATATAACACATTTGTGTAAACTGACAAAGCACCCCTTCCATAGATGAGAACAGTCTCATGCCAGGCATAGGACTTGACGAGCAGAGAACAGGCTGGATTCCAGCTCTCTTTGCTTCCTTGGCCTGGTGCAGGATGCAACTTAAACACTGTATATAGTGGCAGTCCTGGATTCCTCCAATCTGACTTCCACTACTTTTCTCATTTGATCACTGTGTCTCAGCCACACTGGCATAGACAAGTCAAGAATATATGAAAGGAGAAATCAAATGCAAAACAACTGGAAAAGTTGGAAGGTATAGTATTAATATATAAGTTAATAATAACATTCAATTATTAATAATTATTAATAATCACATAGTTAATTGTTAGTAGTAATTAACAATCAGTGACTAATATAAGCATTAAGAGTTCACAAGATGCTCTGACACTATTAATTTAAAAAGCGACAAACTTTTTTGAGAAACTCAAGAAAAATTTGTGTTGAGGTGCTAAGATATCAAGCATTACAAAAAATCTTGTGTGGTTAATTAGTAGAGTCCAATAGCTATTTTAGGAAAAAAACGACATCTTTCCAAATATTTCAAATTGCTCAAATTAAGACAGTGAGAATATATACAAACTTGGTAGGACATGACAAACTATAAATTAGATGACAGAAGGACTTTAGAAGAATCTTTTTAAAAAGTTTTCAAAAATTATTATGGAGACAAAGTCAATTAGGAAATCAGCAGGGTCCCTTTGATGAAGTTGAAACGAAGCATTCAGGGAAGAAAAGGTGATGGCTGATGGCTTGAATGGGCTGAATGTTCTGTTTTGACAGAGTTAGAAAGCAAAGTCTTCTTGCCCCTGAACTATTCCTACTACAGGTAAAAAGAGAAAACAAGGAAGGAATATATGGACAGTGGGAGACAAACAGCACCGCAGACAGACGGGAGAAGGATGATTGACTATTACTAGCTTGGTTTTTAATTTGCACAATCTGAGAAAGAGAAGCAAAGTGATGAGCTTCATATGGGATTTCAAACATTTAGGAAAGATGGAATGGGATGCTAAGAACCATCTGAATGTGTTGATGCCTTAGCTCAGAGAAATGAGATTACTGGTTCCTTCATGATCTGATTAGTTTGAACAAAATGATGAGCCCATAAACACAATGATTTGCCTAAGGAGTATATTATTATACTTGCCTAAGGAGTATATTATTTGGCTTTGAATAGATGCATTCATGCCAAATTGTCATGTTTATGTTTTTAAATGTTGGTAGGAGCTGATAATTTAAAATATCTTAGATGACAGGAGTTTGTTTGTGCAAAATAAATAAATTTGTTGATGGTGTGCATACAAAGCATGAACCACTTTGTACAATAACTAATAGTAATTTTGATAAGGGGAAAATTATGATTTCTAAAAAAGCATGAATAATATTAACTTAAGAATTATACAAAGTAAAATCAATTATTATCTTTGTACACATCTCAGGTTTTAATTATTTGGAGTTTTTATTTATCTATATCCTCCTCTAGTTCAAACTCCATCTCCTCGGTGAAGGCCTCCTGATGACTCCAGAGCATTTAAAGCATTGTTTTTAAATTTCTTTTGTATTTGCTGTTGAAATGTATAATCAGTATTTTATAAAATCTGTATCAACACCAATGTGTAAAATACTGTCTTTACATTATTTTCCAAGTGAGCTCTTTGTGGTCGACTTTATTATCATTTTCTAATTGCCCATGGAGCCAACCACCATGTTATAATATGATCACTTATTACTCAATGATACCTTTAAAACCAATGGGAGTTTTAGATGCCAAAGAAGGAATCAAATAATTTGTTTATATTTGATATGCATATATAATTTTTAAAGATATGTTTCCTAAAATAAATTATTGTACTATTTTACAAAAATTAAAAATGAACACTGGTTGAAAATTATTATAGTAAAAAATGAATGCTAAGGAATGAGAATATGTAGGCTGCAGGTCAAATCCTGTCAAAAAATGTGTGAACTTAGGATGGAAGGAGAGAATGTTCACTGAGTAAATGAATACAAGCTAGAGTGATATAGTATAGGACACTTTCTATATATTAACTCATTTAATTCTTACAACAACTCTGAGAATAACACAATAATAGAACTATTACTCATTGTCTAGATTAAGAAATATACTCAGAGAAGTAACTTCACCAAGATCTTAGAGCTACTACAAGATGCAAAGGATTTGTGTATACTCAGATGTTTCTGGTGAACTCTATAGCTCAGTGTGTTTAGTTTTTCCATGTAACCTGTCCCCCGACCCCTACATCTATACAGCATAGTAAGCTTGGGGCATGGAATTGGTATCTATTTAGTTTCAAAATATTTTAGAATTGTCCAGATAACTTTCTGCTAATGATTTCTAATTTTATTTCATGTGGTCAGAGAAAATATTTTGTATGACTTATATCCTTTTAAACTTATTAAGACTTATTTATAAGCCAAAATACAATTGATTTTGGTAAAAGGTTCATGTACAATTGAGAAGAATGTGTATTCTGCTGTCAAATTGAGAATTCTATAAATATCATTTAGGTCAAGTTTGTTAACAATATTGTTCAGTATATCTGTTAGTAAATTTATACTATTTTCTATTGTATATATCCTTACTGATTGTCTGGCTATTTCTCTATTATTGAGAGAGCCTATCAGAGAGACTCTAATATGTGGATTTATATACATATAAAATATATAGAGACTCTAATTAGTGGATTTATTTCTCATTACAGTTCTATCCATTTTTGCTTCATTTATTTGTAAATTCTGTTACTAAGCGAATGAACATTTATGGTTATTATATCCTTCTGGTGAACTGACCCCTTTATCATTATTAAATGTCTTTTTTTAATCCTCACAAAATTTTAATTGTTTTGATTGCTTTGCTCTGAAATCTCCTTTGCCTGATAGTAATATAGCTACTCCAGATTTCTTTTGACTTGTGTTTCCATTCCTTACTTTTAATCTATTGTGCTTTTATATTAAAGGACATTTCTTCAGAGCTAATTTAGAAGTTCTAGCAGGGGAGGACAGCTACTCTTATGCCCTTTACAGAAGGATGGCCCTCTTCTACAAAAGAAGGTCATCCTCTTCCACCAGAACACGTGCAGCTTCAAGAGAGACACATATAGGACGGTAAGAGAGAATGGGGACACCTGCTTAGCCAGCCATATCAGCCAAATCAACCCTGGCAATCAACAGGGTGACAGATGTCACAGCCAGATCTCACTCACATCCTAAAGTGCATTTCTTATAGGCAACATACAGTAAGGTGTTGCATTTTTATCCAACATAAAAACCTCTGCCTTTTTAACAATATTTAGACCAGAACTTAGCAAACCATGGCCCACAGACTAAACTCAGCCATGCCCATTCATTTGCATATTGTCTATGGTTGTTTTTATGTGTTATAATGACAGGGTTGAATGGTTGTGACAGAGACTGTATGTCATACAAAACAAAAATATTTACTAACTCGTCCTTTATAAAAAAAGTTTTCTGATCTCTGGTTGAGATCATTTCCATTTAATGTGATTATTGATATAATTAGCTTTAAATCTACTGTCCTGCTATACTTTCCATTTGGCCCATCTCATCTTTTTTCTCTTTCCCTATTTTCCTGTCTTCTTTAGAATTTATATTTTAAAATTCAATGTTGTCTCCATTATTAGCTTATTATCTATAATTTTAGGGTTTGGAAAATATGTCTTTAATTCAATACAGTCTACTATCTAATAATATATCATTATATGTATAAGAATCTCACAGTAATATATTTACACTTCTACCCTCTCTGCCATTGTGTTATTATCATATATTTTGTTTCTATATGTTATAAATCTCATAGATTATCTTTATTTAGTCAATTACATTTAAAAAAATTTAAATAGTGAGAAAACACCCCATATCTTTATCCACAGTGTTACCATTTCTGGTGTTCTACCTTCCTCTGTATATCCACATTTCCATCTGACATACCTTTCCTTCTGACCAAAGGACTTCTTTTAACATTTTTTATAGTGTGGGTCTTGGTAATTAATTTTTTCAGTACTTTCTGAAGAAGTCTCCATTTTACTTATATTTGAAAGATATTTCACTTGGTATGAGTTCTAAGTTGACAGCTTTCCTCACTTCCCCCACCCAAGTCTTCTTTCAGTACTTTCAATACTACTGTCTTTTTACCTGCATTGTTTCTGATTTAAAAAAAAAAAAACTACTATTTTCATTATCTTTGTTCCTCTTTATATAATGCCTTCTAAAAAATCCAGTTGCTTTGAAATATTTCTTTTTATTACTGTTTTGGACAACTGGATTATAATTTCCCTTGGTGCAGTTGGTTTCTTGTACCTGAGGCTTGTTGAACTTCTTAAGACAGTGCGTGTTTAGTTTTCATTAAATTTGTAAAACTTTCAGTCATTATTTCTTCAGTTTATTTTTTTTCCCCTCTTCTGTCTCTTGTCCTTCAGGAATTTCAATTACACCTATATTGGGCCACTTGAATCTGTCTTGTGGCTCACTGACATTCTTTTTGAGTTTTGCTTGTTTGTTTTTGTTTTAGAGTCTATTATATCTTGTTTTATTTGAAAAGTTTTTGTATTGCTGTGTCTTCAAGTTCACTAAGCTTTTCTTCTGGAATGTCTAATCTGCCATCAATATAATCCAGTGTACTTTTAATTTCAGACAATCTAGTTTTCATCTCTCAAAATTCAGTAACTGGTCTTTTTTATATCTTGCATTTCTGTACTTGACATAGTCCATTTTTTATTTAGCTTATGGACATATGGAATACAGTTACCATATTTGTTTTAATGTCTTTTCTGCTGATTCTCATATCTGAACCTTTCTGGGTCAGTTTTTATTCATTGATTTTTCTTTTCACTTCAGCTCTATTTTCTTGTATATTTCCATGGATGGCAATTCTTCACTGGATGCCAGACATTGCTAACTTACCTTGTTAGGTGCTAGATTATTTTGTATTCCTTTGAATATTCTTGAGCTCTGTCCTAGGATGCAAGTTTCTAGGTTTCTTGAAATCAGTTTGATCATTTTAGATCTTCCTTTTAAAATATATTAGGCAGAATCAAATCAGTATTTCATGTAGGGCTAATTACTCTCAACTTATGATGCAAGACTCTTTTGAGCACTCTACCCAGGGCCTTATAAATTACAGGTTTTCTAGTCTGGCTGACAGAAATGCAAATTACTGGCCAAGTGTGAGTATTATTACTCTTTCTGGCGGGGTCAGGCCCTGGCTTTATGTAGTTTCCCCACATGTACACATTGATTATAAACATATACAAGGAGGACTCTTTGTAGATCTCCAGTGTTCTTCCTCTGTGTAGCTGCTCCTGTGAACACTATCTGTGAACTTTACCCACCATGATCTCCCAGGACTCCGCAAGGTTCCCTCAACTCAAAGATTCTAACAGTTTCAAACTGGATTCCCACTCCCTGAGACCTGAAATTTCTTTCAAAGCACTAAGTTATGACAATCACAGAACTCATCTTGTTTGTCTTCTGTTTCCAAGAATCACTTTCCTTCATTGCCTGATGTCCAGTGTCTCAAAATCATTGTTTTCTATCTTTTCCTCACTGTTTTATTTGTTTCAGGTAGGAGGGTAAATTTGGTCCCTATTACTCCATCTTGGTCAAATGCAGAAATATTGAACTTTGTATTCAGATACATGGAAGTTGATTCTCAGCTCATTTCCTGCCTTTGTAACTTTGCCAAATGAACTAACTTCTCTAAGTCTTTTTTAAAATGTGCAAAATGGGAATAATAATGTCATAAGGATTAAAATTAAATTAATAATGGGAGACTATTTTTGTTTTCTAGATTAGTGGTTTACAAGATAATTTTTGTCAGGTTTATCAAAGATTGTATAGTTGTAGACATGTTGTGTTGCCTCCGGTGCCTCTGTTTTGTTCCATTGGTCTATATCTCTGTTTTGGTACCAGTACCATGCTGTTTTGATTACTGTAGCCTTGTAGTATAGTTTGAAATCCGGTAGTGTGATGCCCCCCGCTGTGTTCTTTTTGCTTAGAATTGACTTGGCTATGCGGGCTCTCTTTTGGTTCCATATGAAGTTCATGGTGGTTTTTTCCAGTTCTGTGAAGAAAGTCAATGGTAGCTTGATGGGGATAGCGTTGATTCTGTAAATTACTTTGGGCAGTATAGCCATTTTCACGATATTAATTCTTCCTAACCATGAACATGGAATGTTTCTCCATCTGTTTGTGTCTTCTCTGATTTCATTGAGCAGTGGTTTGTAGTTCTCCTTGAAGAGGTCCCTTACGTTCCTTGTGAGTTGTATTCCAAGGTATTTTATTCTTTTTGTAGCAATTGTGAATGGCATTTCGTTCTTGATTTGGCTTTCTTTAAGTCTGTTATTGGTGTAGACGAAAAATTTTTGCAGTTTACCCATCTGACAAAGGGCTGATATCCAGAATTTACAAAGAACTCAAACGGATTTACAGGAAAAAAAACAAACAAGCCCATTCAAAAGTGGGCAAAGGATATGAACAGACACTTTACGAAAGAAGACATATATGAGGCCAACAATCATATGAAAAAATGCTCATCGTCACTGGTCATCAGAGAGATGCAAATCAAAACCACATTGAGATACCATCTCACGCCAGTTAGAATGGCGATCATTAAAAAATCTGGAGACAACAGATGCTGGAGAGGATGTGGAGAAAAAGGAACACTTTTACACTGTTGGTGGGAGTGTAAATTAGTTCAACCATTGTGGAAGACAGTGTGGCGATTCCTCAAGGCCTTAGAAATAGAAATTCCATTTGACCCAGCAATCCCATTACTGGGTATATATCCAAAAGACTATAAATCGTTCTACTATAAGGACACATGTACACGAATGTTCATTGCAGCACTGTTTACAATAGCAAAGACCTGGAATCAACCCAAATGCCCATTGATAATAGACTGGATTGGAAAAATGTGGCACATATACACCATGGAATATTATGCAGCAATCAGAAATGATGAGTTTGTGTCGTTTGTAGGGACATGGATGAATCTGGAGAATGTCATCCTCAGCAAACTGACACAAGAACAGAAAATGAAACACAGCATATTCTCACTCACAGGTGGGTGATGAAAAATGAGAACACATGGACACAGAAAGGGGAGTACTAAACACTGGGGTCTATTGGGGGGAAAAGGGGAGGGCCAGTGGGAGGGGGAGGTGGGGAGGGATAGCCTGGGGAGAAATGCCAAATGTGGGTGAAGGGGAGAAGGAAAGAAAAGCACACTGCCATGAGTGTTCCTACGCAACTGTCTTACATGCTCTGCTCATGTACCCCAAAACCTAAAATCCAATAAAAAATTAAAAAAAAAAAAAGATAATTTTTGCAAGCCACTCCAGATCTTAAATTTTTGGATTTTATTAATTCAATTTCTAAAACTGCACTTTTAAAAATGTAAAAATTAAAATGTGTCCTCAATATTCCTTTTAGCCATGTTTATTATTCATAAGTTAAAAATTGATATTTTATAAATAACGATGCCATCTGTCATATTTTATATGTCAGAAATTATTCCTTTTACTTTAATAATAGTATGTTAAAACACATTAAGAATTATTAAGTCATTTGGTTTTTCCATTTCAAAAAGAAATTTGAGATTTTTTTGCCTCCCTTCAATTTTGAAATTGACTATTTCTTGAAGTAAACTTTTTTTACCTGCATTTTTACTATCAATCCAGCTGCTTTAGCCAACAAATAAGGTTTTATTTGTTTGCTTTAACTACTGGTTTCTCAAAAGCTCTATGTACTATTTTAAATGAGGTCATTAGTGCAATTCTAAAATGTTCTTGGGGCTGGATGGGGTGGCTCACACCTATAATCCCAGCACTATAGGAGGCCAAGGCAGGTGGATCACCTGAGGTCGGGAGTTCAAGACCAGCTTGACTGACATGGAGAAAACCCATCTCTACTAAAAATACAAAATTAGCTGGGTGCGTTGGCCCATGCCTGTAATCCTAGCTATTCTGAAGGCTGAGGCAGGAGAATTGCTTAAACTTGGGAGGCGAAGGTTGTGATGAGCCAAGATAGTGTCATTGCACTCCAGCCTGGGCAACCAGAGTGAAACTCCATCCCCCCCACCAAAAAAAAGGTTCTTAAGGGTGATATCTTGATGATCTAAGAAAATATTTGCTTGGAGTTTGCTTATTGTACTATAAAGTTATAGTGATTAAATAATGTGAGTTGATTATGTAAACTGTGGCTATAGGATTTTTTAATTACAAAATTTTAACTAAATAGTAACAACATTGTACATTTAAAACCAATTTTAAAGGTTCAGCATGCACATTAATTTGCTGTCTTCAAATAGTAATACTTGAAATAAACAAAAATCCATGACAATTAGTAAATATGCAGTTATTTAAAAATGTGCCATCCTTGTTGCATAGCAACTATTGATCTTATGTGCTCTAAAATAATTAAGCACAGATACAAATTGCTATCTACTTTTTGCATGTTAAAACAATTTAAGCTATGAAGTTTATTTTGTTATGTGTATTATATATTTGTAAGAAGAACATTTCATTCTTTGGCAAAGGCACAGTGACCCAAGAAAAAGATGACAATGTCATATTAATGATTCTCCTTTCTCATGAGAAGACTTTTAGAGAACTTTTTATTCATGTCTCAATAGCTAACACAGCCAAGGCATAATTATTATTCCTTGGCTTTCCTGGTCTGGATCTTGATTTACTGCTAGCTAAATGATAATATTTATTAACAAGAAGTCATGTCCTTTCAACCAAATGAAATGTCTATTTATACTATATAAAATTTTACATGCCATAATACCTGTGTAGTATAATTAATTCATTAGAAAGATATCATGGTCTTAACAAGAACTTATAGAATTTTACATAGAATTATTTTTACCACCAGATTAACTTGATAGCATAAAGAACATAAATGCTTTTATATGTCAGATGCTAACACTAACTTGTTCTACTCTGTGTTAGCACCTCAAGGACAGGGTACAGTGAACAGAAGTACTAGAGAGAGGGAATCATAAACAGAGACCTTTTCTCCAGTGAAGTGCATCCAAAAACCCCTAGTGAGGTGTGAATATGGAGATGGGAAATTTCTACACAAGCAAAAACAGGAACATTTACTCCGTCATACTAAGAGAAGCTCAGGAGTTTAGAAGAGGAGTGACTCCCTGAATCTCTATCCATGTTAATTCCACTAGTAAAATTTCTGAGTTAAAGGATGGGAAGTTTACAGTATCTCTTGATACATACTGACAAACTGCTTTCCAAAAAGGTTGTTTTAATTTCTAGTCCCTTAAAGATTAGGTATGAGAGATGATCTCACTAGATGTTAACCACAGTGTTATTCTATCAGTTGGATGGATAAACAATAATCTTTCATTGTCCTAATTTGAATACTTTGGATTACACAAAATAGGCTTGATAATCTTCCTTTTCAATTTTTAAACATAGATTGCTAAGGATAGGGAAAGTGAATAAGTACAGACCACTCAGTTGAATACCCTGAGGCTAATAAAAATTAGAAAGAATTAAAGATGGTGGGCCTTAGAGAAGAAGAAAAAGAAAAGGCCTATGTTACAAAATAAAACAAAATAAGAATGAGACACAAATAGCAATGTTAGTCCATATTCTCCAATTTTATTTTGGCCCATGGGGTACTATTGTTACAGTGATTATTTTTATAATATCCTGACTATGGAGCCTGATGGACAAGGGAAGGGATACTTATTTTTAGACGGCCACTTTTGGCTGAGTATGGCCAACTATTTGAAGATTGGAAATGAAAGCAACAAATTTAAAATTGATCTGAGCCAGCAAGAATGCCTAACAGGTTTCAGTATGCTGGATGGTGGAGTGAGGGATTCCTGAGTTAGTTTGAAGGAGGCCACTGCTTGTTGCTGAGGTTACAAGTTACGGGGTTGGATCCCGGAGAAGAATCTGACAAAATCCAAACAAGTTGTCAGGACTTCAGTCAAACAATCAGAAATTTGGAAACCAGCTCCATTTCTAGAGGAAAATTTAAGACATATAAGAAAACTAAGGCAGAAGAAGCATAGATAACAGTCTTGGAAAAGAATGAGTTGGGAATGCTTTGGGTCAGTGTGTAGAATAGGTCCCAGGGATCAATCAAGGAGTACTAGAAGTTTATGGCAGAAACAAGACTGCTTTTAACTCAATGACTAGACCTGTGGATGGCCTGAGAAGGTAGGGACTAAATTTTTTTAAAATATTACTTTTATTATTTAAAATTATGAAAGTAATACAAATTCATTGTTGAAACTTTGAAAACTATAAAAAAGTCCAAAGACCAAAATCAATACAATTTTTTTGTACTCTAACAGGAACCATTTCTCTGTAAATAATAGCAAGCTAAATGCTTATTCATTTTACTTTGTCAGGGTAAATATGTCAAGAGTCCAAAACTGAATAATTTTAAGTAATTTTCCATTCTTTTATCTTCTAAGAGAAGGAGAAAAGTTGTAAGAATTATTTCCTTGGTTTTAAGAAAATGATCAAATGTAGACTGTGACAGTTAATGGGGAAATAAGAAAATACTTAAAAGCAAAAAAATGTGCTTTTGCATGTATCTGGAAGAGTCTTCTGACAAATGGACAGAATTTTTAAAAAGCAAATAGGTTGCATGCTGATGAAAACCACACTACCATTACCTTCTCCTTCCAGTTATCATCACTCAGCAGCTTCTGTCTAAGGGTTTCCTGCAGCTGCTCAATGCTTTTCTGATGTGAAATCAGCAACAATTCCCTGAAAATCAAACCCGACAAATGAGTCAATACTTACCCCTAATGCAATTCCTAAGTTGTAGTTCCTGGCTCAGAGATATTACTTCACAACTTAGTCTGTTTATTTTCTTTAGCAGTATATGTGCTGCTATTACATATCATTTGAACTATTAACAGCAATTTATAAATGCTGTATACATGGTATTTTCCCAGGATTAATTTTTGCTTAATAAGTAGTAAGATATTATTTTTGCAACAAATACTAATCACATATGCAGAGCCACAAATACAATAAAATGTCTTCTGGCTATTCATGTGTGCAAAAAATAAAATGTTGTAAGTTGTGGTTGAAAAAGTATATGAGTAAATTTTGTAACAGCACCAGACAATATTTGGTTCCTTTTAAAAAAGGAAAATATGTTGGGATATGCCATAAAGTCAATACATATTGGCAGTTCCTTTCTTTTACTTACCTGTAAACTTTTCTTTCCTTTTACTTGTCTCAAATATTGATATGAACAAACCAAATTAAGTAGAGAGATGTGTAATGTCAGGGATGCAATACAGTATAAAACATATTAGAACTTAGAAAACATAAAGATCACTTTAACATTTTAATCTACATAAGTAGATCTTAATGCTTAGCTTGTGATCCTCTGGATGGAAGTAAGGACAGGAGGAAATTCAAGAGAAAATTTCACAGGGGCACTGAAATTAAGATAGAAAATCACTAGTAGCAGCAAAAGCACGTTTAATGATCAGGGGCCCTTCCTCCTTGCATGATCACTGTGACTCTTTTTATGTTCTATGCATGTGATTCTTCTCCATTGCTCATTCCTTCTCTTAATCCTTTTGTTTTTCATCATCACTCACTTCCTCTTAGCTCTGACCCTTCTGCAAAAACTTGTGACTTTGATTTATAATTGCCTGTTCAACACCTCCACCCTAATGACCCATCAACACCAATAATTCTATACATCAAAAATCAAATTAAACATCACCTCCTCCAATCCTTCCTTGCCTCCAGACTTCTGAAAACCTTCAAGAGTCATCTTTGAAGGTTTGTGTCATCTCTGACATTTCTTTCTCTCTGTTCTATCACAAGTATGTAATAGCAAGTTATGTATAGTCGGCTTCTTTGGGGTATCTAAAACTATTTCCTCCTTTCCTACTACCAAAACCCTTGTTAAGTTTCTTGACTTTATCTCCCACCTAGAGTTCTGTAGCAGCTTCTTAATCTTTTGAGCTCTATTCTAGTGTCACTCTTATATTATTAAACATTTTTTACCATAAAAATAGTGCTTACATTTCTAGGCTAGACAATTTTAATGTCATA